TATTCTATTCTATTCTATTCTATTCTATTCTATTCTATTCTATTCTATTCTATTCTATTCTAAACAACTAAAATGGTGACTGTATACATGGACATCATTGGGTAGAATATATAGAAATAAAATTGACTTCATTATTGCTTAAAAGAAGTGAAGGAGCTCAGTTATAACATCAAAGGCATGGCCAAGAGCAGCTAAGGAAAAGATCACAGACTGTTCAAGCACAAATTGCATATTAAGCTAAAGAACAAGATGAAAGCCAACCATTGTCTACAATATGATACTCAATATATATTTACTTTTTTCAAAGAGAACATAAAATTTGCTTAAAAGTCTGGAACCCATTAATACAGAACCAGAGGAACTGTGCAAACAGAGTAAATAATTTGTTAAGGATGATTACGAAAAGAGACTGCCAAAGATGAAGAAACAAAGAAAGCTCATTGGAAACTTCCAGGTGAGAAATAGTGAGCTAGCAGGTACCCAAATGAGTCCATTGAGCCAAATGAAAAGTATTGGGGACTGAAGAGGTTGGGGAAGGCTTGCCTTTTGTCAGCATTGGCTCCCCCTGCTCCTCTGCCTCACTGATGTCAGATTCTGAAGGCTCCGGAGTCAGCACATAACTCTCAGACGGTCCTGGCCCCATCTCTGTGTCAGACACAGATCCCTCGTCCGAGTCCTCCCCAGATTCCAGGACTGGCCCATGGTCCTCCCCACTATCTGACTCTGCTGCCAGCTCCGCCGGCCACTGGCGGACCACAACAAGATCAGAAGTAATTTATTTAAATATTCCTTTTCATTTTTTTCTTATTTTTCTCTTTTTTCTTTTTTCGTACTTTTTATTCTTTCTTTATCTTTTACTTATTTCTTTTAAAAAAGGTTTCAAATAAAAATATTTTTAAAAGAAGAAATCAAACCAGATGTCAGAACAAACTGTGAAAATTACCAAGAGAAGCCAGAGACAAAAAAAGATAAATATCTCAAGAAGGAACTTAACAAAAAGCTTCAAGAGATGGTAGAAAAAATAAAAAGCAGTATTACAACTACATATATAGCATATAAAAATAGTAACTAATTCAAAGATCAAAGATGGAAAGAATATACTGGAGTTCTGTACAGCAAAGATGTGAACATCCAAAGAAGAATCAGTAAATGTTCTAGCCACACTAAGCTGCAAAACTGGAGGCTGACACAGCGGACAATAGACTGGAAGACTTCAGTTTATATTCTAATATCTAAAAAAGGAGCAGACTGAGCAAATAAAATTTATCATATAAAATCCTTAATTTCACATGCTAGCAAAATAAGGTTTAGGGCCATCCAACGCAGATTAGAGCCTACCTGGAAAAAGAAATACCAGATATTCAAGCAGCTTTTAGAAAAAGCTGAGGAAAACAAGGTATTATTTCAGAGGTATGCTGGGTAATTGAGAAAGCAAAAGAATAGCAAAAAGAAATCAGAATGTGCTTCCTAGATACAGAAAGGCCACTATTATACTGATCATGTCACGCTGTGGAATGTGCTTAGAAAAATGAGAATCTCAGAAACTCTTGTCCTCATGCAAAATCTTTATTCAAGTCATGAAGCCCATGTGGACACAATATGGCACAAAAAAGAAAGGTGGGGAGGAGGGACTGTCTCGGCAAAGGAACGAGACAAAGTATATCTCCTTACTTATTCCACCTATATGATGAAATATAGCACGAGTTAGGTGTAACAAAGCTGGCTATGTTACTGCAGTCATTCCAATCTGTTGTGGAATGAAACAGGGATGCAATTTAGCTCCTCTAATATTTATAATGTTTAATGTTTATATAAATTCAGTTACAGCTTTTACAAAAAAAAAAAAAGAATTTAAGGTTTGTGCCACTTAAGAAAATGGAACAGGAACAGATACTTGGTAATGCTTTGCATGCCAGCGATGCAGCAATTCCCTCACACAGGTTGGAAAAGTTTGCAGGCAGTAGCAGAATTCTGCAAGAAGGAAGGTCTTAGTATTAATTGCTCCAAACTAAAATTATGGGAAGACCTAGGTGCCATAAATTCCAATGACAAATAGAAATGAATAAAATAGAACAATTTCTACTTTTAAATATCTTGGGAGTAATTTTTCAAGCCTCTGGAATTTGGCAGGAACAATCTAGAATCCTCTTTGCCAAAGGCAATAATGGTGCCAAGATAATCTTGGTTTTTTTCACTCAAAGGGAGGTAGACATGTACCTTCTGCTATTAACAGGCTTAAAGCAAAAACTACATCCCATATGCTGTCTGGCCAATAGAGTTGCACTTACAATTATCTGAAGCCCTCGGACCAAGCCCTTGGATCAATCCATCGTTTGCAAGCACTTTTCTAGATTCCATGTTATCTGCCAAATGTTCTTATTTACATGGAAACAAAATGATCCCACTGGAAGTTAGATTTCATGTTTGCCTATGCTTTTATTCTATTTTCTATTTTTTCACTGATCCCTCTATATTTTGTTGATGGCTTCTTCTCAAGATGAAAAGTAAAAATAATAACTGACTTGTTTTATTGCAGCCTTTCTATCTATTCTTTGTGACGTATAGGCCTACAGAAAAACGAAAGTTGAAATTTCTCAAAGAAACTTCCATATTACATATTAGACAGAGTAGAGCACTGCAATTAGCAAGAGTGGGTTTCTTCCTGGAAATCTTTAGATCTGCAAACTATTTGTTCAATCTAAATTATTCAAATTGTAGAGCCTCTGGAGAAGGGGTTCTGATTGCAACGTTCCCTCTAATTTCTAATGTGCCATTGTGTGGAAAGAAAAAAATTTGGTCAGTTTTTCTCAAATCAAGTACAAATTTGGGTGCCACAAGTATATGAGTAAATTGGAAATACATGTTAAAACAACATGAAAAAAATATTTACATATGTATTGCCTAAAGCATAGAAACTAGAAAATATAATAGTATGCCGCATATGTGCTTGAAAATTTATGCTTTCAAATTATATTGTTTCCTGCACTTTTCTTGGCAACATTTCAGGGGTGGGATTCAAATTTTTTAACAACGGGTTCTGTAGGTGTGGCCTAATTTGTGGGCGTGGCTTGGTGGTTATGTGACTGGGTGGGCGTGGTTTGCTGACTGTGCTTGGCTTGGTGGTCATGTGACTGGGTGGTCATGGCTTGTATGTAAATATTATTAATATTTATGTAAATATTGA